TTTCTATTTCCACTACACCTTTAACCACTCCAATCATTACCCCAATCACCATTACTACTACCATCCCTGATGAAACAGCAAGGTTCAACGTATCTAATACGGGGGCACCTACTGTATCTGAAACTCTAGTCATTATTATACCTCCCTCACTAACCAAATCAATCGATTCCGGTGCTACACTCGGTGGTGACAATGATAAGTATGATTCCACATACTTTAGTCACTATCATTTGCAATCGGATGAGCATACTGAAGCTCCAATCAACCGACAACACTTGGACAGTATTCATGAGAAGTTGGACATGTTGCTTGCTGATACGAAAGCTTATGGCGGAGTTGTTCTAAAAGCCTTTGTGGAAACTGCCATAGAGCAATATACAAAAGCCATGGATAAGTCCACTAACGCTATTAACGAATCCAATTCTCTTTGCAAGAAAGCTACCACTGATATTGCTGAAGTTGTTTACACAACTCAGATCATTCTTAATTCTTTGAAAGGGCATGTAGATACAAATGCAGCTAAAGTTCAATCTTTGGTTGATTCTCTTTCTCAAACTTTAATAGAAGAACACACGAAATTTGAAGATGTTCGTACTTCTCTGAAAGCCAATAATGCAACAAACTGGACTCCATGCATGCTGGGATAGCCAAGGATAGTGCCTTGAAAGAAGAAATTGCCAAACAAGCCTCTACCATTACCGTCCAGCAAGTCCAGCTTACACAGGCAGAGAAGGAGATTTCTTTGTTAAAAGCTGAAAGAGCTGTCTTTCGAAGCTGTGCCAATGATGTGAAGGATATGTTGACCAACATCCTTGGTGCTCATGATCCAATTCTAACTCTTACTATTCGCAATCATCTTACAACAAAGTTGCTTCCCGCCCTTGCAGTTCTACACGAAATGAAAGGTGTTTCAGAGCCTATTGTCATTCCAAAACAAGGGGGAGAGGAATCGCAGAAGGCCGATATCACAAAAGAACTGAAGGTTAATGTAGCTTCAGGTTCTGGCCCGAAAGAGAAGATGAAACAGATTGCTCTTGATAGCGATAGTGATATTGATGAGACTATAGCTGAGGCTCTGCAAAGAAAGAAAAGAGATAAAGAGTTAGATGAAAACATGAAGATCTCTAAAGAGTCTGAGGAAACTGAGCGAAGAAAAAAAGAAACAAAAGACATCTTACAATGTAAATAAGCTCTTTTTCCTGAATGGACTAGGGAAGTGTTGATCAGTCAGGCTATTGAGTCACGAAGCTTTTACTAGTTAGAGCCGATCGCTTCATTTGACTGTGACAATTCCAAGGACTCATAGTTTGACATGTCGATTACGCGAAAGGCATTTAATTTTCATTATTTTGATTCAACTATTGAGATTCCGTTTCAAAGTCCAAAGGTTGGCCGAGAGCTTATTGATTGGTATTTGAAATATGGTCAACCTCAGTATCGTGCATGGAGTGCTCAAAAGATTACAACTATCAAAGTTTTGAAGCCGACTTCAGCTGACAAGTTTGTTAATGTCCATTTCAAAGTAACACGAGGGACTGCAAACTCTGTCTCAATGATATCGCTTGTTGATCTTCCCAATCTTAATCCACATGATTGGATTTTTCTTGTCAACATTCTGCTCGATCATTCGAAGGAGTATGAACCGATTATAGATCATCTGAAAAGAATTTTGGGATCCTATATACACAAAATTGCTACAATGGATCAGGAGATTGCAAGAGTCATGAATAAAAAGCCGACAGTCAAGCCGAACCAAAAGCCCGATGATGTGAATAAGATGAAGATCGGGCAGATTCACTCAACTCATTTGACGGTCATGTTTACAAAGGGTGAAGCTCACAGGTTCTTGTTCACTTTGGTAGATAAACATCTGTTTTCTACTGACTGCTTAGAGCACATCATCAATCTAATACATCGGTGTAAGCAGAACTTGGATGTTGATAAGAAGAATTTTACTGATATGCTTCGGTGGTACATCACCTTTCGGTACCATTTATTAGCTATCATATCGAGAGTGTTCAAGATGGTGAAAAATCCCTCGGTTCCTAAGAGTTGAAGTTTCGGCTCCGAAGACGCAAAGGGGGAGATTGTTGGGCTTATTATGTTGTGTCTTAGGACTTTTTGTATATATCCGGATTGGGCCTGTCCATCTGTGATTATCTCTTTAGGGTTAGACTATATATATGCATGCATGTATGCATTATATTTGACACGTCTTGTTATTTTACGATTGAGCTTGTAACCCTAAACACCTCTAAAGTCGAAGTTCTTAATCGAGCTCTTCTGAGGTGTTGAAGCTTTAATCATTCGACATATTCAAGCCATATTCTCTTTCACTTTATGTTCATTCTTGTTTGCGTACTTAGAACTAATGGATCATGATAGAACTTTGTTCTAACATTATCTACAACAGATACAGCTTCATACACACCATCACAAGGTAATGCTTTAAAATAAAGAACATTATTAAAGAAAGCATTTATTGCACCAATTTCATTATCAAAAGAAAAGGTAAAGCCTTGTTTGTAAAAAGCATGAAAGGAAATAATATTTCTTGCAATTTCTGGAGAATAACAACATTTATTCAAATCTAAAGTAAACCCACTACTTAGCAACAAAGAATAAACTCCAATCTTGGTGACAGGTGAATCTTTCCTATTCCCCATGATCAATTTTATCTTTCCATGCACCACATTCTCACTTCTTCTTATTCCCTGTAAATCAGAACAGATATGAATACCACAACCGGTATCAAGGACCCAAGAGTTAGAATAGGGTGAGTTATTAGATAGAATAGTGTAAATTCCTGCATTGTTGGGTTTGACTTTCCCATCCTTCACATCTTGCTGGTACATTGGGCAGTTCCGTTTCAAATGCGACTTTTCATGGACATAGAAGCATTTAGCCCCTTTTGGGTCAGAAGAAGGAGTGACAAAACCTTTCTTGGTTCCACTTGAAGAAGAGCCATCAAGGGTCTTACCCTTGGTACCCTTCGAAGGGCTCTTCCTCTTCATCCCTCTACCTTTCCCGGTTGCCAGGATAGGGGTAGATTTTGGAGTAAGAGTAGGAGTGTTAACAACTGACTTACCATTAAGACCTATTTCTGCGGTCTCTAGGAGTCCTTGAAGTTTGCTGACTGTGACTTCTTCCTTATTCATGTGGTATGTCATGCGGAATTGATCATAACACGAGGGTAAGAAGTGCAAAATGATATTTATTGCTTGCTACTCGGGGAAGTTCATATTAAGCTTCAGCAAACGATCCACATAAGTTTGCATTTTCTGCATGTGGCTTGTGACGGATTCTCCATCCTTCATCCTGGTTGTTATCATGGAGGAGATTATTTCATACCGCTCTTGACAAGCACTCTGATGGTATCATTCCTACATATCTTGGTGCATCTCAAAAAGGTAGTAGTCCTCATAGGAATTCTGGAGTTCAGCTGTCATGGTGGCCATCATGATGCATGCCACTTTGGTGGCATCTCTTTCATGAGTCCGACAGTCAGCAATCTCCTAGGGAGTAGCAGTGGACTCATCGATCTCCTTTAGCTCCTTATCGAGGACATATTCCTTGTCCTCTTAGCGAGTCACCATCATGATGTTCCGAATCCAATCCATAAAGTTGGAACCCTCGAAGATGACCCTCCCATATAGGTTGATGAGGTAAAAGGAGCCAGAAGCAATGTTGTTGGAAGACATCTGAAAAGAAGAGAACTAGATTAGTTTAGATATAAAGATAGTCCTTAATAAAACACAGAAATATAATATTAAGGCTAGGATCCAACCACAATATATCATAACTTAGAAGAGGGATGTCGTAATCTAAGCTATAACATATTTGAAAGGTAGGTGAATGACGATTCACTAATTTCGACCATGAAAATCGAAATATAAATATTAGGTTTTAATTGGTTCTTAGAAATTCCTAGATTCTTTTGAGATTCAATGAATTTTCAAAGACATGTTTCAATCTCGAGTGTGCCCTCCAAGTTTTGTAACAGGGATGTCGATGATCACAAAACGAGGTGTGAAGTAACCATGCAAATAACTTGGTACCCTTAATGTTTATCACTCAATCAATGTTCCGGTTAACCACACGCGCTCCGCCGACCTATAATAAACTTTAAGTCACCCTTTACCTACCTTGTTAAGTCCAAGTTAGTGTGCCGGTTAACCACACATGCTCCACTAACGACTTAAACAAAGTGTAAAGTGTAATTTCATGGATTAGCACCTTATTCGTATTTTCCTAAAGTGACTAATATTGGGAATTTAATAAAACACTTAGTTACTTTATAATATTCATCATACTTTTAATGATAATTTTATAAGTCCGTGTCCTACCCATTCGGCTAACGACCCTCCACCAATCAAGGAAGTGGTGGGTAAGAGTGGACACCCGTTAAGCTGTCATTTTATAGGCAACAACCTTCACTACTAGAAAAACAGCCTTTTACGACGCTCATTGCGCGTCGTAAAAGGCTCAGACGATGCGCAAATGCGCGTCAAGGAAGGCCCTGTCATAAAGAGAGACGACGCGTGTTTACGACACGCAATGCGTATCAAGGAAGGCCATGTCATAAAGGAAGACGACACGCATTCGCGTGTCGTAACCTTACGACACGCGTGTTAATGACACGCAATGTGTATCAAGAAAGCCCCTGTCAAGAAATGCCATGTCATAAATGAAGATGACACACATTTTTGCATATCGTAAATTTAAATGTTTTAAAAAATTATATATTTATTAATTTTTAAATTAAATTTGCATTTAATTTCTCATAATAGAAATAAAATACTGTATACAAAAAATACAATCCATTACATAATATAAAATAAAATTTAATACTCAAAAAATAAAATAAATTGTACAAATTATAATGTCATACAAAGAATCATTCAAATGTTAAACAAAAATAATACATTGCTAGCATGGGTTGTACATTCCTATAAAACTAACAAATAATCATACAACTTTGTTTCTTACTGGAAAGGAATGCCAAACATGATTAAAAATCTCCCTTAATCTTGATTAATCACCTGCTTAAGTAGAATGATGTTGTTGAGAAGGTTACCTAGCAACAGAGAAAAACAAAACACCTCTCCCACAATCACAACATCATTTACAGAAAAAGGGTTGTCAATTACTTTCATTAAGATTTTCATTCAATCACAAAAATATTAAATAACAGGGTGAAAAAAATAACTTACTTTTGATAAGTTGATCTCCCTTAGAGCAAACACAACTAAACCATTGAACAAGACCCTCAGGCCTTCTTCTAATGTAAACACAATGCTCGTCTGCAAAATTGAGGCGATAAAATAAAATTTGAATATTGTTTAGGTAGTTTATATATGATTTGATAATTTGATTTAAAATACAATAAAATAAATTATCTTTTTTGTTACCTTAGGGGGCTTGTCAATTCCTTGGATTATAGGTTCTCTTGCTAGTATTAGAAAACGAGTTATGTTATCTAAATCATCTTGAACATTCAATATAAAAATTGTAAGACAAAAGGAGAAATGTATATTTGAAAATACTATGAGATGTGATTTTTTTAATGTTATCAATCCATAAATTAAGCGCAACAAATAGTTACCTATCTTTTTTAAAAACTTTTATGGGGGTATAATGACCAAAATGCCCTTGTATTTATATACATGTTTACAAATATAACTTTAATAACTAGGTGACACCTGGATTGTTTGTGCTAGAATATCAAGCCCAATTTCAGTAGCCCGAGAACTTGCAACTGCTCCAGTGTCTCGTATGGATTCCGAGGCTACAATCTATTAAAAAAACACTTAACAAATTTTAAACAAAGAAAAAAAAACAATATTAAAAGTTTAAACGCAAGAATTAGCAACTAGTTTCATTTACCTATCCATAGTTTCAGTTTATAGTTTATTTCTTTTCATTCTCCTTCTGTTACAAATCTTCTTCTCCTTCTACTACTTTTTTTTTTAAAATTTGAGTTTCATATATCATCTTACTTTCATTATGTATACATAGTATCTGTTTTCTATGGTATCTATTTCGTGAGAAGGAGATAGCATACAATAGAAGTGTGGTATCTATTTTTTGTTTCATTTGTTGTTGTTTTTTCATAAATTATAAAGAAAAAGGCATATTTGTCCTTTTAGCTTTAAAGAAATAATGCCAGGTATCCTTGAATTTTTTAGCATAATTGATGTAATGGTGATTTCATAAATCTAAATCATACTTTTCGGTTGTAACAGTTTTTTTTTTTTAACTTTTTGAACATAATGTTTATATGAAAAACTTAATGTTTTTGTTAAAACTGTATTGAATTTAATCAACATTACAACAATTATTACAAAAAAAAATGCAAAAAAAAAAAAAATCACTGTGATTACTTCTTTAGACTTTGATTTATACAAAGGGACCAAATTTCATTAAATTTTATTAACACATGGGCCATTATGTAATTTTTTAAAACAAATGTACTGCTTTGAAAATTTAGTTACATAGGGGCTGTTATGTCAATTGAATAACATAAGGATCAGATTTCAATTAATTTATTAAGACATGAATTGTTTTGTAAATTGGTTAATAGTGGGAGCATTTATGTAATTTTTAGCAAAAATTATATTACTTTCAATCATAAGGATCAGATTTCAATTAATTTAATTACTTTTTTATCTTTAAATAATTATCAAAAATTATAATACTTTGAATCATAAATACTTTTACAACCTTTTTTTAACAAAATAAATTATTATTATTAAATTTCAGTTTACAAAATTTATGTTTCATCGTATAATCATTTTAACACCCTCCTCCCTCCCCCTATGTGCTATTTAGTGCACAAATTCTTTGACAAAAAAATGATTAAAATGGTCGGATCGGGAAAAATGAAAAAAACAGAATTTTTTTTATCTGGGCAAAAAGTAATTTTGAAGTTTTATTCAAAACAAACACAAAATAAGCTATCTTTTAGATTAACCCTATAATTTAATTAACATTAGTTTTAAATTTTTTTGTGGTGTCCACACATTATAACCTAGTATAATAATAAAGAAAAAAAGTTGAGAAGAACTTACAGCTTCTACCATCAAACAATGAGTCAGCACTAGCTTCAATTACTTGATATGTTCCAGCAATAATGTCCATAATAAGTGTAGCCATTTGGGAGATGAGGACCATAGGGTAAACTCCCAATTCCCTCAGTTCTCTGGCTCTTTTCACAGTTTCAGCTATGTTTGATGACATTGCTAACTCCAGAACAGAAAACAATAATTATCCTGTTAAAACTTATAAATTATAAAACATCATATAAAAGTCAACATTTTTTTTATATAAATAGAAATGATATTATAAGTTATAACAATAATAATGTAAGCTTATGGATTGGTTTGTAGACCATCTTTCATAATAATGAGTATATCTTTCTAAAGAGTTTTTATCCATTTCTCTTCGTTTCTCCGTGTCATCATACTGCAGACAACAAAATACACAATATTTATTATTTAATAACTTCAAATGTGTAAAAGATTTATTAAATGATATAAATAAATCTTAATTTATCATTACTCCCTCTTTTTATGAAAAACATATTTCACAAGATTTTTATGAAAAATACATTGGAAAATACATAAATAATTAAATAAATAATAAATTTGCAAGGCGGAATACATGTAATATGCATACAGTTGGTAAGCCATCCAAATACTGGGCTGCATGATGCAAGGCCTGGCTTATGGGTCCCAAAACCTGTGACAAATGAGGGTATGTAAGTGTAAATATGGATGTGGGATCTGATGCAAGACTATGACCCTTTTCTTTGCATATAACAAGTACCTTTAAAGATGAACGTTCACCAGAAAGTAAAGCAAGATTTGCAAGACCCATCATAAATTCTAGAAGTTGCACAAAAAATCATGTTTTAAGTACAATTCTTCACAAAGTTATTAGAGAGAGAGAGAGAAAGAGAGAGAGAGATAGATAGAGAGAGAGAGAGAGAATGTATAGGTAGTATTTGAACAGCTCTTAAACAGCAATCATAAGCTTCATCTGCACAAAGGAATGTTAGTTATTGACTGAAACTCAATGATTCAATGGATTCTAATCAGAAAAATCCATTGTGTAACAGGAAAACTGGTTTCATACACAGTATATTCTTATCCCAAGGGTAAAATAGGGTTTCTTTATTGCATCCTTTAAATCTTAACAAACCTGCAACTCTTTTAAGGGCACTCTTTCTCATATACCTCACTTGCATATTTCCAGTTGATTAAAGAACATCTGGCTTGACATTTTTATACTACAAATTATACAAAAACACATATATAAGTTGAAATTCTTACAACTTGTATACCATACAAAAATGAAATTTGTTTAAATGCATGCTCCGAAACATCTATGCCAAGCAGAGGAACCAAACTAGGACCTTTTGTAACCAATGGGTCCTACAACAGAGATTCATATTTAAATAATTTGATTTCTGAAGTTTAATAGGGATACTAATTTGTTTGAATAAAACTAGTGATAACTTACCTGGTTTGATGTGGTTTCAACCACAAGCCTCTTCAACTCTATGTTAACAGCAAGCCACTGCCAAAATATATCATAAGTTTAAAATAACAAGAAAAAAGTTGAAAGAAAAAACCAAAATGACAAAATAAAGATTAAGGAACATACCACACATCTAGAACCTTGCACAGCAACGCCTTTTGCGTTCTTTTTAGCAATCAATTTTTCCACAAAACTAAAGCTCTGGTTGATAGCCGATCCCAAAGAACCATGTGGTGGCTCGCCACCTCCTTCCTGCAATAAGGTTTTAGGGTTTTAGTTTTGGTCAAATTATAGTGCTCGGAAGTCAGAATTATCATCTAAATCAGAAGAAGTCAAGAAACTAACACTGGTGGGAGTGAGATTCTTCCAGAAAATTGAGTGATTTACATGACCTGCTCAGAGACATAAGGGTAGATTAGATATCTATGGATGTATGAATATTATTATCCTCCTAGCATCAAATTTGTCCTAAATGTGTTGTTCAGTTGCTTCACTTTAACCTATTTAGGACTTGAAGAGGAAGTTTCCAATCGAATTATAGTGTTTAACCTTGCAAGAAAGACCCATTACAAGAAAGACCCATTACAATCATAGCTCTTTGTACCCATAAATCATCATCTTCCTTTGTTCACAAATCTTTATTCCACCCACCCCACCCCACCCCACCCTAACACACCCAAGCTATCACCAAATCTGAATTTTTTTTCAAGACTTTTAGGAGATTTACATATGACTCAGTACTGAATCATGTCTGCTGAAGCCATAATAGGCTGGTTTGCATAAAGGTAACTCAGTGAGTTATTCATGAACTCGTCGACAAACTCAGTGCCACCTCCACCGCCATATTTCTCGTCCTCAAACCCACAACCGGTGTCGACAGGTTGGTACATAAAAGCGATCATCTCATTCAGAGACTGTAGCCGGTGGCTGAGCTCCACCACCTGAGCTCTCAGAACAGAGTTCTCCGCCTCCACGCTTATGTAATGCTGGGTGGTGATACTGACGCTTGATATGATCTGGTTGTTCTCTTTCCTGAGTTGATTCAGCTGACTCGTGAGATCATCCAGATGCTTTTGCTTCCTCTTTCTAGATCTCCTTGCAGATTCACGATTCGAAATCATTCTCTTCTTCCTCCTCTGATTCATCAATTGCTGAAGATCTTCATCAGACCCCGAGTTCTGAATTGGGTATGAACCACCTGATGATGTTGTCGTACCACTAGAGGAAGCCATTAGAATACCTTCAACTTTGAAATTGCAGATTTGAAGAGAGAAAATGAAGATTTTAAATAGAACCCAGATGGTAATAGAGCTTCAAATTGATTATTATTATTATTATTATTTAGATTTATCTATATATATATATATATATATATATATATATATATAAGATATATATGTAAATTCGTACATAACGCTTCTAGTAAGTATTCAACCAAAAACAATGAAATCGAAAAGATAGGAAATTATAGTGTTTAACCTTCGCCATTGAACTTAATAGTGCTCTGAAATTTGACAACAGTTGAAGCATCTCCCTTGGTGATAGCATCATCGAGCTGCTCGATAGCTTTATTGTAGTTGGTTATGTAAGTCCAGTGGTGTTTCTGGTGATGGAGCTGCATGATCTCTCCGCTAATCACCGACTCCAGTGCTCCATAATCGTAGGAAAGATCGGGAAGCGTCAACGACTGCAATCCACACACATGTTGCTAAAACTTGGATATCGCACCTAGGGTTTTAGCAGTCGCGAGGGTTCGTAGAGCCATGTGTTCCCAAAATAGATGGAGAAGAAGGGAATAATCTTTGTACCTGATTTAGGGAATAAACGAATCTTTAGAGATTGAATGTAAGAGAAAGAAATCCAGGGCATATACATGAAGAAGAAGAGAACAATCTTCGAACCTGATGCCTCCTCCGCTTTTGCTTTCCTTCTCTTGATGTTTTCGATTATACCTTGAACCTCTGACTTTCGATCCCAAATCTGATTTGTAACCATCGATTTCTGATCTTCAACCTCTAATTCGAGTCATATAGTTTCGAATCTCAGAAAATTTACCTTGCTACCTCTTATTTTTGATGAAAGAGGAGACTCAAATCTGAGAGAAAAATGAGGAATCGATAATTAGGGCAAGAGGGAAAGAAGAAAAAAAGGATGGCGGGGTTTTTAATGTTTTAGGATTTCATTTTTTCATTTTCCCCCTGATTATTAAAGGATAGAACGCGCGTTCAAATAAAATTTATAAAGCGACATCCTTAGACACACGCATCTTATTATAGGCGCCCTCCGTGTTTTTTTGTTTTTGTTTTTTGGACACTAACTTAAGGGCACGCAATAATGCGCGACCTAAATTCTTAAATTTTTTGAATAGATTACACTTTTTTAATGTCACTCACTTTTGCGTAACATAAATCAATGAGTGTCGTCGTTTGCGCGTCGTAAAAGGGTCTTTTTCTTGTAGTGCTTATACCCCCCCTTATATACCGACTTCGTGAATGAGGCCTATTAACGGTAATACGACTTGATCTTATATATATATATATATATATATGACTTATAATATTATAAAGTATAAGGGTTGATTTTTAACTTTTAAAAATCTAGGGGTTGGAACTAAAGTTTATTAAGATAACTTTATATGTTCCAAAACTTGAGGGAAAGTTTTGTAACTTAAAAAAACTCTTCAATTTATAACTTATGAGTTATTAAAATGAAGACTCTTCATTTTTGTAACTTATGTGATCTTTTAATGGGTTTAAAACAAAGAGACTTTTGGTTATGCATAACTTGAGGACAAGTTATGGACTCCATTAAAACACATAAAGATCATGAATTAAGCATTAAACAAGTAATTCCTATGATCTATTAAGAACTCAGAAGAACATGAATATTCATATCAAAATTTCAAGAACATATGAACACATATAATCTTGCAATTTTGATATTAGCCATTGTAAATGGATCAGAACAACCATTATACCATCTAAAATAAGTTTTACAACACCAAAACAGCTTAGGGTAATGTTTCTAGTCCATTTCCACTGATGGGCTATGAGCATTCTAACACCCCTAAGTGTGCATGCAACCCTAGAAAACCTGAGATCTATGTTTATCTAAAAATACATGCAAAATATGATTTCCATGGTTCATAATCGTATCTAGCATACATGGGGAACTTTTAATCATAAAAGATGGCTAGAATTACATACCTTGTAGTTGATTTGATTCCTTGAAAACCTTGAGAGCCTAGCACCCCAAGTGTGATGCCTAAAATGGTTCACACAACACCAAGGGCTTTGGAATAACTTTGAGAGAATGTATAACAATTGTAAAATCGGCTTTCCCTCTCTATCTTGCTTCTAGTGCCGATTTTGGTGAGCTTCATATCCTTTATATAGTGTGTTACAATTAGGGTTGCACCATGTAAACCCTAATGTAACATAGCTCTTCATTTCCATGACCATGGGTTTGTAACTCCCATGTAGCATCCATGGAGCATCCTATGTACCTTAGCCCAACTTGATAATCCATGGAGCATTTAGCCCACAATACAAGTTACAGATGATCTACACAATCAACCCATATATTTAATTACTCATCTTTTGATCACTTAATTAATTCTAGATTAATTCTTGATCAATACTAATTAAATAATATTATTAATATATTAGAACTTATAATATATTAATAAACCATAAGTGTTATTTCTCTCATTTTAGTATATCCAAATGTTTGATGCCATGCAACCCAAATGCACCATGCCGGGTCGGGTCAAGTACATACCAAATATAGTTATGGATTTAGACACCTTATCCAACAAATGTAATAGCCGGATTTTATCAGGTATCTTGTTTATTGTATTTTGTTGATTTGTGGGGGGACTCGGCGAGTTGGAGCTCAGACTCGCCGAGTAGGGACGTGGATTTGGACGCGGGATCGCGCATGGACTCGACGAGTCCAGGATATGGACTCGGCGAGTCAGCGCTGTGTAATGAAACCCTAATTTCTCGGGTTTGAGACTTATTTAAAGGGCCTAATGGCCGTTATTTGTGCTCACCAGCCCCTTGAGTGAAACCCTAATCGAGTGTGAGCATTTGGAGCTAAGTAGGAGGCCATTATTGACCTTGGAGGTGCCATTTTTGCAAGGAAGGAGAAGAGCTAGCCAAGGGAAAGCAAGAAGAGCCACTTTTGTGGGTTTGGAGTCCAGAGCATCACTTTTGTGGTAATAAATCCGAGTTACCTTCTTCCTTGTTGTTGGTTATCTAGATTTAGGGTTTCTTGAACCCTTTTATGGCAAGATTTAGTGTCCTCTTGGTCCCTTATGAGGTTTGAACCATAGATCTGGACCCTTAGAGGTCTAGAGTATCCCTTTACCCAAGCTTTTTGGGAATCAATGGAGGCCTTGGATTGGAATCCTCATGCCTTAGGTCAAAAACTCCATTTAGGAGCTATAGGGTGTGTTATGAGCACCAAGATAGGAGCTTTACGTGATGAATCAGTCGAGGGAGGCCAGATCTATAGTTTTTGGAAGCAGATCTGACCTTAGAAGCAAGTTGGAGTGGTTGCATGGCATGGACTCGCCGAGTCTGTTCATCCGACTCGGCGAGTAGCTTGAAGATTGCCTTGGGACTGCTCAGCGAGTGGTCCAATCGAGTCATGGGTAGACTCAGTGAGTCAGGGTGAGTTGGAGAGGGATGACGAGTGGACTGAGTCAAACTTGGACTCGCCGAGTTGTCCTTGAGACTCGGCGAGTTGAGTCGGGGTGGCCCCACGATTCATTCAGGTGAAACTCGTCGAGTAAAAGGGGGGAATACTCGACGTGTAGTAAGGGGATTTCAGAGGGTTGGTGAAAACGTCTAGAACCGCCGAGTCGCCATGGTACTCGCCGTGTCCGATCAGAGTTGACCGTTGACCATTGACCAGAGTTGACCTGTGTTGACTTCTTATGGATAGTCAACCTTAGAGATATAAAGTGTTAATTAGAAACATATAATGTTATAGGAGGATTAGAGCTCGGAGGATCGAGCACGAGGGATTTCCAGGATTCGTGAGATACCGAGATACGCGAGGTGAGTCTTCTCACTATACTATATTACCTTGAGTAGGTAACCAAAGTTATGTGATAGAGTATTTGTATGCTATGTATGTTATGTGTTGAACTGCATTATTTCTATGTGATTTATGTAGTGCATGTTTATCAGAGCTAGAACATGAGGGTTCACAGAGTTTGGGTGCACGGACCCACAGAGTTATAGCCTCGAGTGGCTAATATGTGTTATATGTGGTATTTTGGGGAACTCACTAAGCCTTGTGCTTACATTGTTTGATGTTATTGTTTCAAGTACTAGTGACGACCGCGGGAAGGCGCCGGCTTGATCCGTACACACACACTCGGAGTTTTTACATTGTGATCTTGGGATTTTGTATTAACCTATATTGGATAATTAATATGGTTGTTTGATGAATATTAATCGAATTATGTTTTATAAGAAAATTGAAAAATTTGTTTTGAAATTTACGGTGTTACAACAAAGGTTTCAAGCATCCGAAAATGAATCACAATACAAACGAGGCACACCGCCACCCGATACGGTG